TAAAACGAAACAAAGACAAAATATCTGAGTAGAAACTTCTCATATCATAGAGTCGAATAAACATCCATACAATAGTGATTTAGTACAAATAAAGTCAATTATTAAAGAGGCCCCGTCCAACAAGACTAGCGGTGACCTTATCAAACAAAACAAACATAGTGAGTGTAGTAAAAATTTCTCCTTAAGCTCAACTATTCGACTAATCATCCTCGGAAAAAGGGTCTCCAGTCACAAAGCCCCTCTTCTTCACCAGCGCCAACAAACAATGATATTTGAGTTCCCAATCCTTAGAACTTGTATTTCCCACCTCGGCTTCTTCTGCTGGAACCTTGTCTTTATTTGCTACCTGGGCTTTGATTATTGTCAACTCTTTCACAACTTGGGTCAAGAGAACATCTTTCTTTTACAGCTTTTTCTTTAAAATCTTAACCTCCTCATAATGTTTAGCTTCCAATTACTTTTTAGCCAACTGAAGCTTTTCTATCTCCTGATGACTAGCCTGTAACTCTTCAACTTGTCGACTATCCGTATTAGAACCCTTGACCCTAAACCTCTTCGACCGCTCAAGCAAACCATATTTTTCTAGCAACTGGTCCTTCAACTTAACCTCCTTCATAAGCTTCTTTTTGTCTTGTAGAGCAAACGAAAGGTCCACGTTCATTTCTTCTTGCTTAGCTTGGAGTTTGAGGTTTTCGGCCTTGACATTCTTAAAACACATCATAGGCACGAACTCTAATCCTCATGGGACAGGCTGCACAGAAGACGAATCAATATGGGATAAAGAACTATCCGCCCGAGCATTGATTAATGGGTCAAAATTAGGTTGAGGATATAGCAACCTCCCCTTTTTGTAAGGTAACCGTATCTCTCTCACACAATTCTAAATCTAGATCGTATAAGTATCGTAAGCTATACTTCCATTCTGGCTAAAAGAAAGTTTCCCTTTACGGCGAATATGTTCCCATTCTATCTTCACCTTTTCAAGCAACATTGTATCTTCCCCTTTACCGAAATAAATGATATCCATCACCTCCCTCTCAGCGGGTCTATCTAACATCGCGAATCCTAATTGACGGCGTGCTAGGATAGGATTATAATATATGTAGCCTCTTGTCCCCATAAGCGGGACATTAGGGAATTCTCCACACCCTATAATGATCTCTTTCAAGCCTATCACACTTTTCCAAACAATATCATATGAAGTGAGTCCCATGATAAACTTAGACCATAAAGACGAATCGACAGTATGAATAAAAGGCCCTTTCGTAGGCATATGCATCCCCAACCATTTGTAAAGCGAAATCGCGCAACACATGACTTCCCCTTTCTTCCCATGTCAGGAATGGATGGTGTAATAAGTGTCGGTAAGTAGAGTTGGTATCGGGTTACCGTTCATGAAGACATATAATGCGGATACATGCACCAGCTTTTCGGAAACCGGAAAGAGGACCAAACTATAAATAATAGCTGCTAGAAGTGCATTAAATACAGTCCAATTCATATCCCTTGCAAAACCCTTGGCCTTTGATATCAAGTAATTCAGAGGGAGACCGCTCGTGCCGCTTTTGTTAATCCAATTACTTTTAAATTCACCATGGGTCAAATAAAGAGCTCTGACGATTGCCATATAGTCCGAAGTCTCTAGTACTTGAACAAAAGGAATACTGTTGGTCAACTTAACATCCATAATGTGTGTGTATTCTTCAAGAGTTGGTGCCAATTGATAGTCCCGGAAAGTAAAGCAGCGCAACTGCGGATCATAGAACTGAAGAAGTATTCTCACGTTCCACTCCTCAGGATCATCATTCACCAATGGCAATAACTTTCCATATTGTCCTCTGAAAGCTTTTTCATTTGGTCCCTTCACAAAGCCCCCACCTCTCGCAATTGACCACCAAAGCATGGAAACTGATAAGAAACAATGTTTCTAAGAGACTCTGAGCTTGTCTCCATGTTGTTATCCATCTTTGATACAGATGAAAAAAACCTTAGAATAATCCTGGAAATGAAATGCAAATGCAGGTTAGGCATATATATATATATATATATATATATATATATATATATATATATATATATATATATATATATATATATATATATATATATATATATATATATATATATATATATATATATTTTGCGTTTCTTTCATAAGATAAATATTCCACGATGCAAGTGTAATAAACATAAGATCAAAGTTTCCATAATATTGATTAACCGTTGTGCCTTTTCTGATTATGTTGGGTGTATTAGGATCAAAAATCCAGAATCGTGAACCCGAATAAACCTCTCGATCGATGAATCAGAAACTCAGAAAATAAATATGAGAACCAAATAGAAAAACATCGTTGCTTATAGAACATAGCCACCATCGGAACATAGTCACCAACTGTACCTGTGATAATCAAGTCCCTCCCTGCTCACGGGTGAAAATGAGGTCAGGGTAAAGGTCTAACCCAGAATCGAGGGCACTCCTGAGAAACTATCACCATATCACCTACGTGAAAATGATAGCCCCTCATTCGTACCTCTTCTGAGTGTGGACAACATGGCGACAATAGTGAAAACTAAGTCAACTAGCCGTTCATGTTCCACTCTATTCCTAGGGTCCCTATGGTTGTCACTTGGCCTGGGTATTGGGCCTTTTACCTCTCGTAACACCCACCCAATCATGAAAACAAATCCAGCATAACAGATAACCAATATGGAAAGCAATAAAATGTGATGCAAACATATGCTCATATAAACATGTACAAAATGAATAAACTAAAAGCATAAAAATAAACACCCAAGGAAAAGAAAAGAAGAGCTAGGATCGACTTCGGGATGGACCAGTAATTGGTCAATCTGTCCCCAGTGAAGTCGCCAACTGAAACAACCGGCTGAACAATCAACTAATAATGAAATCAATGGAGTCGCCATCAAATGTTTTTTATTCCACAATAGAGGAAATGTAAACATAGAGTAAACATGAGAAGGGTGAAATCACGATCAAACGACCGAGAGATCAGATTAGGGAGTCTGTTACGCGAGGGGAAGGTATTAGCACCCCACACGTCCGTAGTACTCTACAGTATCCACTCTTGTTGTTCTAATCTTATGGGTGTGTTAGGATCTATATCTAGGATTAAGGGCTAAAAGAAAATGAAAAGAGGGAATGCATGCAAAAGAAAATAGAAAATAATGTAGGGAAAAATAAAGTTGTGCTCGCTCGGGCCCTACCCCAATGCCTATGTATCCCTTTAAAGGAATCAGAGCAGCCGTAGTTTGGCTCAAAAGTTTTTGTTAGTTTGTATTTTTTAATGAACAATATTAATTTTGCCTTTTTCCGCAACTCGACCTTTGGAGACTTACGCGTTAGCACATAAGTGAATTAACATGTTCTTTCTGAAAAGTTTGAAAGAAAAGCCCGAAAGAGCAAAAAAGTTTATATTGATTGGTATTTTTTACCTTAAAGAAGGATTTGAAAGTTGTTAGATGTTTTATGCTTTTTCAAGAAAATAGATTTAGTCTTAATGCATGGATGCAAAAGAAACAAAAATCACCTAAGGGAGACTAACCCAAATCTATACCTAATATTATCATACAATGATTGATCCTAAAGTTGAGTTTTGAAGGGAAATATCTACCCTAAGTTGACGTGCATGGATACCAATCCTAATGTCTATCTCAACTCATCATCTATAGATGAATCAAGAAGTTCTAAAGGAGCATAGCAATGGTCTATCACCTAAAACTATGTCTATCTCGAATCATCATCTATAGTTGAATCGAGAGCTCCTAAGGGAACATGTCGGGGGTATATCATCTCGAAACATGCACACAAAGATGAAATCAAACAAACAAGCCAATAAGCTCAAGAGAGCATACCTAGAGAGATGCTATCTAGGTTAGTATGCCAAAGAAAGTCTAACAAAACTATCCTATGGGGAACATGCAATGAGAGAGAAGTCGTGATCTCAATTTCTAAATTGAGTGACTCATCGATCAACAAGAAATAAAGGAAAGCGATAAAATCCTATAGGGAGCATGCACTGAGAGAGAAGTCGCGATCTCAATTTCTAAATTGAGTGACTCATCGATCAACAACCAAGGAAACAAACACAAGCACAACACATATAGCAAATGAAGTACGGAATTCCTGCTACAGGTCTTTAAACAGCGACTTCGAGCACACGTTCTTTATTTCCTACTTCTCATGATATCTAGAAAGCAGTAAAGTGCAAAATGAGATAAACAAGAGAAAATACCAAACAAATATCAATCCGTAGCAAAGCACATCAAAACAAAGAAACCCGACGATTTTCACGAAAGCTTCACCGATCAAAGAGTTAGAAATCAAATGCTCAGAACAAACGTCGAAGCATCACCGATGTGAAAATAAATCACAAGCAGAAGGTGCACCAAGCATATCTGAATATCACACAATAAACCTGTATAAGACTCAAATCTCAACAAGCAAAGGTGAATTGCTAATCTCAAATATAATCAGAATTTAATTTCCCAAAAACTAAAAAAAATCTACAAGTTTTCATATTTGATTTTATCATTTCTTATCATGTAAAAAACTCAAATAAAACAATTATCAAAAATATCTAAACAAAAATGCAAATAATAAAAAAAAGGATGCAATATGTACACAATGCTGCTACACAGCAATCCAAATTCTGGTGCTGAGCCCAATCCATGGAGCTTTTTTTTTGTTATAAGCAATAAGGCTTCAAAAACCTGTGTCTATAGGCTTTAGGAGTGTGCAAGTAGAAAAGAGGCGCTAGGCCCAAATATTGAGTCTGAAATATTGTGCTTTTTGTTCACGAGCTCTTAGGCCATCCAAATAAGTGATATTGGGTTTCAAACAAAGCAATTAGATGTTAACTCAGCATCAGGCCCATGAATTCCAACCCAACTATCATCACCATCAGATTTTTAGTAACATTTTCTAATAAAAAAAATAAAAGAATTGAAAGTTGAAAATAGGAGAAGGAGAACGGTTTCGTATGAATGTTGATAAGGTTTTCACTTTTTGACCCTTCAATTTGTTTGAAAACAAACTCCCTTCCTACAACCTTCACCGCCGCTTCCCTCTCTTGCACCATTCGCGGACGTCCTCTCATCTTCTCTGATCAATTCTTTGCCACCGTGGATAGCATATTGACGTTGCTGGGAATAGCTCTGCGAAACCTCCTTCGTTCAGCCCTCATCTTTGTCTGATTCGACCTTCCTCAGCTCCCAATTCGCTTGCGATTTCGTCTCAACACCCTCACTTGCCTCCAATTTCGTTTCGGTTTCAATTCGTGCTTCTCATCCTCAGCGTTTCATCCAATGCTTCTATTATCGCTCATCATTGTAAGTTCTCGCTCGTCTTCAGATTCGTGAGGTTTCACTATGGAGTAAGGAAAGGCGAATGAAAATAGTGAAGTAAAGAGAAGATAGAAGCACCTACCTACCGGAGAACTCCAGTGGCTCTTCAACGGCTCAGGTATGCGATTTTGTTCCTTGCTTGGAATAGTATTTTCTCGCTCGTCCTTTTTCTAATTCTTCTTTCGGATTTTTGTGTGCCTCTGAGCGGTTATTCATGTCGCGTTTGTGAGGGAGACAGAGGGAGATACAAATTCGGTGATTCTCCAATGATTGAAGGGTTGAAGCTACTGAAGATGAAGGTTGAATTGTTGAGAGAATCAGAGAGAATGAAGATGGAACATACTGGTTGGAGAATATGCAGAAGCTGGTGAAGGATCTTGTTGAAGAATCTTGCAGATTCAAGGTGGATGATGAATGTTGTTACAGAAGATGATGAGAATTCGATGAATATTAATGATTGATGTTGCTTGAAGCAGGGGTTTCAGAGAGATGAAGAATGCAACATTGATGTGAAGATGATGAGAAGTTGCTCTGAGATGAAAAATCGAAATACAGGAAGCTTATTACGTTGTAGTGGTGGCTGTGTTGATGAAGATGATGGAAAGTGAAAGAGAGAGAGAGAAAGAGAGAGAGCGCGAGCTTTGTTGCCACTGCCATGAAAAAAAACGTTCTTGTTACATGAAAGCCAGAGAGAGAGAGAGAGAGTTGGTTACAGTATGAGGTTGTTATCGCGGAAAAGAGATAGAAAGCAAAATTCTCATCAAAAGAAACAGAGAGAGAAAATAATTTTTTTACACAAGGAGAGAGAGAGAGAATGAATCGGTTATGTATGGCCAAAGAGAGTGAAAAATATTTTGTTGTACTCCTGTTCATGTATGCAACCCCAATTACTGCATGGACATGTCAGATGCTGATTAACATATTATTTGTATTAGATTTTCTGTTTACACCCATGCATACTCACAGTACTTGGAAGTTATGTTATTTTATCTTTGTTGTATTGTAATATGAATAAAAATAGCTACCGAAAAGAGGCTAGAGGAAAGACACGCAGATGTTGAGTTTTGGATTTATTATTCTTAACGGTTAATTTATATCCACATCTTTTTCTACCTTTAAGCTTTTATATTATGTTAAGTGCAAACAAAATATGAGATGAATAATATATTTGAATAAAAGTATTACTCCCTGCATGATATAATACAGTAGCTTCCTTTTCTCAAAAATTCCGTTTAACACGCTGTAGCGATATAAATGTTTAAGACTAAGCCATTGGATTGACTAGACTAATACAGATCGGAAAAAAACCGCCAATGCACTTTATTGTTTCCAAAGGAATGGGAAAAGAGTGAGTAACCCAAAAAAGAGGGGGAAAGATTCAAGGTAAGGGGGTTGGTTATGAAAAGAGAATGTATTAGCACCCTAAACATCTATGGTACTCCACAAGAACCTCTTTGAAAAATCTGTATATTTTGGCTATAAAATGTTGTATGAAATTGGATGGTGGAGGTGAGAAAAGAAATGTATTTTTTATGATATTTGCACCCGTCGTGGTTGCGAACCTTTAGTTCCTATGTACCACCTTTCATGCAATAGGGGATCAGGGTACACGTAGTTCACCTTTGAAAACTTTAAAACTCAAGTGTGTTGGTTAATTTTATGAGATAAGATATCATCATCATTGTCCGTGTGGAAAAATATACTTACTACCCACAATCATGAGAAAGGAGAATTTGCATCATCTCAAAGTAGAGGAATGGCTTGGATTTTAAAATCAACAATGCCTCACTCAACACCCAAGTGGAAAATATCTCTCTTTACTACATATTGTAGAAGTGTAGTTGTTTGCATCACTACAAGTATTGAGAAGAGTCTAATCTTTTGAAAAAGGTTTTAAAATAAAAAGCCAAAGTGGTAAAATGGTTTGAAATGAGATTGATTGACTTTTAGTCTTCTCACAAAAAATGTCAAGGTATTATTGATTTGATTGAAGTTTATTTATGAAAAGGTTTTGAAAATGCATGGACATAAGTCCAAGTTTATTATGAAAGTGGTTCAAACTTAAAAACAAGAAGAGTTATCAAAAGGAGATAGAGGATTTTTAAAATTAAAGAAGATGGGAGGAGAAGAAGAGGCTATCCTAAAGCATAAGATAAAAACTAGGGATAAGAACCATCTAACCAACAAGAAGCCAATACTTGACATTATGAGCCAAGATAGAATTCCCATTCTTTGGATTGAAACCAAGCAAGCAAAGATACTAAACCTCTTGTGAGAACCAAACTTTAAGCGTATTAAGTCTTCACAAAAAATTGGGCAGAGTAACGGCTGTATACGGGTGAATTCCAGATTACAATCAAAGTATGTAATCACAATAACCTACACACAAAACAAACAAACAACCCAATGTCTTGAGGTAAACCTCAAGAACTCTAGACAAAATATCCATCAAGGTCACAAGGTCTCTAACATAGGCCAGGATTTCTATTCCTAAGTCCAAGAAGTCCAATACTCCATAATGCCAAGGATAGTAACCAAATAGTCCAAGTATCATTAAAGGTTTTTATGGTTCATGTTGATTATTAAGTGTATTATAAGAGAAAAGAAAAGCTCAAGTGAGAAAAATAAAAATAACAAGAAAGTAAATGCTCAAGTGAGCAAAGTAAAAATGACATGAAATATAATGCTCAAAGTAAATGGTACATAAAGCATAAAAAATAAAAGTGCATAAAGTAAAAACAATTTAATAATTAGTGGTTAGTTGGATGACCATCTTAAAACTTGCATTTGGAACTCATTAGAGGATTGGTAGAACCAAAGCCTCCACACAACTAGTTGCATTTGCTTTTTGTCAAGTATATCATCCATTTGGAATCCTCAAAAGTACCATTTAATGATCAACGATATTTAAGTGATCCGTGTTGACCAAAAGTGTTGTAGATCCATTAGAGGATTGGTAGAACCAAAGCCTACACACAATGAATCTCAAGGTTATTGGATCAAAGAGATCAAATTAACATACTTGGGCTTACAAACATAGGTTTGGGCCACGAATGATCATTTATTTGAATCGAGACAAAATTTAGCGCTATGTTAAGCAATCGTAAGTGGACTTATGTAGAAGTCGCACTTATTTTGAGGCCGGTCAATAGCAATCTATGCACCATTTGTTTTGAGACATGATATAAAGATCATGCTTCCATAACACTTAGTGCAATAAGAAAGGGATAAGATGGAGGGGGGGGGGGGGTGAGAAAGAACATACAAACCACATTTGAATTAAATTTTAATTAAACTATTATTAAAATCATTCATCCATTCTTATGGAGTTAGACTCAACACCATGGATCCAATGATGTTAACAAAGTTCATAATCAAAAATTCAACCCAAGATCAGCCAGAAAATAATCACAAAATAATATTGCATTTAGTATATACATTAAAAAAAGTTTTAAAATGTTTTTAAAATAGAAATAAAAGAGAAAAATATCAACTATGTTCAAATTAATCAAGAAATAAAAAGTAAGACCATAGAAAAATCAGAAATGAACTAAAATAATTTTATAAAATTTTTGGTAATTTTTTAAAGTCAGAAACTATTTTTAAAATTAAAATAAATGAGTAAAATGAACTAAAAATGATAAAAAATACCAAAGTCAGAAAAAAAATGGATGAGGTCACCAATATTTGTCACAATACCATTGGATCATTCCATAATTTTTTCAAAATTAAAAAATGCATAAAAGTATTTTTAAACATTTAAAACAAATCAAATAAAGTGAAAATTTATAAAAAAATATCAAAATACAAAATAAAATTGTGAAAAAATAAAAATCAAAAAGAGAAAAATCAAAAATATTTTTCATAATTTTTTCAGATTTTTTGGACAAAAAATAAATTTTCTATGATTTTTTTGAAATTTAAAATAATTAAATATAAAAATCAGAAAAGAAAAATAAAGTCAAAAATATGTGGACCATTGGATGAGAGTCAAAATTCGTTAGTAATCAAATCCAAGGGATCTGGCGCACTGTGCATATCATGGTCATTAGTGAATAAAGCACTGAATCAAATGTAAATCAGAAATTCAAAAAAATACAACTGGCGTTGTTTCATTGGTTGAAGGATGACACATTGGTCATCTTCAACCTCCAGTCAGTCCCAAAACCAGGTTGCTTAATCTATAAAATTAGAGCATGAGACCTATGCCATTCGCTTCATCTCTTCAAGACGAAGACAAACACACCTTCGTGTGATAAATTTATATAAACTGTAGCTCAAGCAATTTGGAAGGAAAGTTTTGAAAAGGGATTTGAAATTTCATGGTCAAAACAATTTTCCACATAAAAGTAAGTGTTGCGACTAGAACCAGGCCAATGAGAGCATCACAATGATACCAAAGTTTTGAAGAATTGATGGAGAAATTTACCTATTGAAGTTGAGTTGCAGAGCTCTGAAATTGGACTTCTATGGAGTAATATAGGGCACGATTCTTGAAGGTGATTATATGGTTAGCTTCAGGGAAGATCAAGGAAGGTAAATTGATAGAAAAATTGGATTGAAAAAGGCTTGAAAAAAAATTTCGAAGTTGCAGAAATTTGAGTTATGGAATAAGTTTGGCAGGATGATTCTGGATATCCAAGCTTGAGGAAATGAATGGGGGATGACCATCTATTTATAGGATAATGAATGGGATCCTCAAGCATGTGAAATAATGAGGTTTGGAGGGAAATCGTAAGGGGTCTGCAGCATGAACAAAGTGTGACTAGTTTAGCATCAAAACTCAGTCAAATCGTGCGTTTCATGATGCTAAACACCTTTGGAAAGTTGCAACAAAGATTAGAAGCCAAAACAAAGATTTCAAAATCTGACTTGTGATGAAACTTCAGTTTTAAGCTACCAATTTAAAAACAATGACATTTTGAGCTCAAGGGGTCTTAGGGCATGATTCTTGATGCTTTAGAAAGATGATGTTACAAGATTTGCAATGGAAAAATAATGGAATCAAATGGATGCTTGAGCTGAAAGTTGCATTGAGTCAAAGTTG